CCTGACACATCCACATTATTGAATGGCCTGACACACCCACATTATTGAATGGCCTGACACATCCACACTATTGAATGGCCTGACACATCCACATTATTGAATGGCCTGACACACCCACATTATTGAATGGCCTGACACACCCACATTATTGAATGGCCTGACACATCCACATTATTGAATGGCGGACACATCCACATTATTGAATGACTTGACACATCCACGTTCTTTACATTCTTTTGATTTATGTTTTCATTATTACCTATGACATTTCTTTTTTTTTCTTTCTGTTACATTGATATGATTTTATTTTTTTATAACCATAATTATGATTTAACATATTTGTTGTTTTGTTTTTTTACACAACTTGTTTTTTTTCTCATTAATCCACTTACAATCTTTATATCAGTCAGAACATTTTTTAATTGTTCAAAACATATATTGTTTCATTAAGTAATGATTTGATATATGAAACGTGGACTTTTAATTTTGCAAACTTAAAAAAAAAATAATAAAATAATAAAATAACAAATGCACATGTTCAAGTTTTAAGAAAATAAATAAAGTAAACAGATTTTACTTAAAGAATAAATGGACATTTGAAATAAAGGTCTTAAGACGTTTCTACTAAAAAAAAATTAAATATTTATTAAATTTGGTAATTTTTTTACTTTGCAAATTTGGTAAATAGTTTATAATACAGAGTTAGATAAAGAGATATAGTGGGCCAAGTATATGGAGAAATGTCAAATATAACCAAAAATGATAAAAAGAGAGAAAGAGAAATTGAGAGAAGAAGGGAGAGAAAGGGGTTGGGGGGGGGGGGGCATTTTATTACGCACACTATAGTTATACAATGGAAATTGTATAATCTTTCGTTTAAAAAAAAAAACACAATTGTTATGTGATATTCACATTTTGAAAGGTATTGTAAAAAATGAAAGAAACATCTTTCTTGTGGATCAGTTCTATGCGCTTTACATTTTACAATTTCTCCATTGTGATATATGTTTCATGCACATGGAAATTCTTTTGCTTAAGCTATATAGTAGAATAATAATGTCTAACTAATAATATCAAGCTTATTTTTCCAATTTTTTTTTAAATTCTAGCATTCAAAGGTAAAGAAGTCGCATGCTATCAGCCATACAGGTAACACATTTTTCTCAGACTCTTACATCTAGACAAATTGCTAAATCATACAATAAATGTATATTCACAAATGACAAATGTAATAAACTCAATCATGATTTCTGTATTGAAGGGGTTCAAAACAGACAGAAAACCGTAGGCCTTTCAATTGGTTACTAAGAGACCTTTCTGATCGTTAAAATCACGATTTTAGTCCACTAACTCATCGGATGCTTATGCTGATGTTATCAGAATAAAAGCCATGTCACATCATTAGCTGTGTTCTTACACTAACATAAGAATGGACGTTGTAATTTAGGGGTCGATATTTAAAATTAATATGTTTAGTGTACTTAAGAAAATTGCTCCTTTATTTAATATCAACTAAAATTTACACATTTGCAAATTAAGTTTCAATATTATAGTTAAACTTCAATTCAACTTTTAGAAAGGGAGCTTTTTTGCAATATTGCAGTAATTCACTTCTTTTTCGCAGAAGCTTTGGCAGAAACAAGATGTGCATGATGCGTACATTGAAGATATTCCTTTTGTTATTTATACTAAACAGTAAGTTGTTGATTAAAAACAAAATAATTAATTAAGTGTTTATAAAAATTACTGGCTTATATCTAATTCAAAATTTCAAGCAAAATGTATCATCTTTACATTGCGGAAAGAAATTTATATGTGAAACATTTTAATAAATGATGGGAAAAGATATGTTTAGACTTGAAAAATGTCTTTTCAAAATATATACCAGGCAAGTGCGCCTCTTGTTGGGAGGCTTAATGTGGAAAGCCAGTTTCTCGCAGATGACACGTAGCCATACACGCATACTAATCCCTCTCTTGTCGACTCCACTGCACTGACGTTGCGGGAGAGCATTTTTGATGTCAAGTCATGGTTGCCCCTCAGCAAGTTGAAGTTTAACGATGACAGAACTGGAGTCCTCCTTATTCACGATCACAAATCATGCTCTAAGTCAGCTCTCCCCACCTCATTTTAATTAGCTACTCCGACTCACAGATTACATCCTTCGCTAGGAATCATGGTTATATTCTATATAAAAAACTGTCTCATTAAAATTATATCTTTCACATTTTCGCTCTGCAAACACTGCTATCAGACAGATCAGCCCCACCCCTCACCACCTCACAGTTATCGCAACAAATACCCTTTTCTATGATCGTGTTCTCTTTTTTCTTGCCTATTGCAACTCTCTTCTGTCAGGTTCACCTAGACACTTCTTAGAAAAAGTACAAATGGTTCCAATCTCAGCTGCTAGGCTATTTCTAAAGGCAAAATAAACGTGATCACTTCACAACACTACTTTATTGACCTCATTGGCTCCATGTAAAAGCATGGATTGACTAGAAACTTTCAGTTCTCTGATTCAAATTTTTTCTCGAATTCTTGCCATTCCTATGTAACCAAACTTCTCTCTGTATTTTCATTTCTTCCTCCGCAGCCGCATGCGTATACTTTTTGTCACCAAGACTGGCACCAAAACATACGTCTCTTTCTTTTTCTGTGCCCCTAAAGAATGGAATTCTCTTCCACTACAAATCTGCAATATACCGGCCATCACAACCTTCGAATCTTCACTCGAAACACATCTCTTTTGAATCTACTATCCTGACCGCTGAGCGATAAACAATGCTACTGGGTGCCTTACATGGCTTGACATGTATAAATTTATGGAATATGTGGATTGAATATACAACTGTTTTGTTGTATTTAACTAATTTACGTTATTTTAAAATCATGATTATATTTGTTGGAGTGTATGTATAGCGTTGTGGGCCAAGGCCTAAGCTTGGGAAGCGCAATACAATAAACTACTAATAGTAATTATGATAATAAGCAAGACGCTAATTGTTTACATTTTAAGCTAAAAAGGGTTACAGATGGAAACAAAAAAAAAAATAGTCTCGTATTTTCTTTTCTTTACTGTTACTTTTTACGCATGATGTATAAAATTTAAAAAAAAATAGTTTAAAGTAATAAGCAGTCTACACGGACATCCGCAAACTATTAATATGTAATGTATGCAGCTAATAAAGAAGTAGAGTATAATATTAACATAATGAGTTAAAAAATACATTAGCCGTTAAGTTATTTTATTACTATGTATAATATTAGAAAATTAATCTATTTTTAAATAATTATAAAAATAATAACAAAGATTATTTAAAAATCACGCTTCATTCCCAAAGGCTCAAAGCGCGGTACATACCACATTGAAGTACAAAAACTACATACGAGAATACCCATTCTAAGTCTTTCATACCTTGCAACCATAAACAACACAGGCCAATATAATCTACAAGATGATTTCTAGATAGATAACATCACCCCAGCAGATTTTGCGAAATAGATAAGTCTTTAAATTCGTTTTGAAAGACCCCAGTGTCTGGCTGTTTTTGAGAGCGACAGGAAAAGTGTTCCGAATTGTAGGGCCAGCAAATGCGAAATTGCGTCTTCAGTAAGTCTCAAGGCGAACACGTGGTATCAAGATTTTGCCACTATCAAATGAGAGAAGTTGTCTAGTGGGTACATAAGGCATCAGTAGCACTTTGAAATAAGACGGCCCCAGGTCATGGAAGCAGCGTTAGCACAGAGTTTCAATGTCTTACTCTATGCGAGCGCGGACCGGCAACCAATGCAAATCTCTCAGATTTGTTTTAGCATAGTGGAATTTGCGTTTTCAAAGAACAATGTGAGTCGCTTTGTTTTGAGCTTTTTGAACTTTATCCAGGAGCGTAGCTCGAAGACACACCATAAGAGCATCGCAGTAGTCCATGCGTGATAGCACGAATGCAGAAATCAGTCTCTTTGATGCATCGAACATTAAGAAAGGTCTGATATGACTAATTCTGCGAAGCTCTAGAAAAAAATCACTTTGCAAAGCATGTTAATAGGATTTTACATAGTTATAGTTGTGTCTAAGTGGACATCCAGATTTTGCATTGTTTGAGCAAACTCAATCTGTATACCTGAGAGAATATTTTAACTTTTGAGCGGTAGCAATGTGGATCAGCTCAGCCTTTTCATCGTTCAATTTAAGCGTGTTTATAGTCATCCAATATCATAGATATTTCTAATTTTATTTTAAAGTAGACAAAAAATTATTAGACTAACCTTTCATAAATATTGTACCTTATTGCAAAGCTTTTAACCGGGAATGACTGCAAATGAATGGGGTTGAACGACTTTGTATTATTTATCATGTTTTCAGTAAGCTTAAAATGTAATCTAATTAAACACGAAATTACACTATAGATAACACATTATTCATTGATCTGAAATCAAAAGATATTTGGCATGCAATATAGTGTACTTTGAAATTAAGATATTGTGCGTACATTATTATATTCGATGTAGGCGGAGCGTCGGGAGAAAAGGGCCACCAAATGAACATAAGTCAAAGAGTGCAGCTGGTGTTGACAAATAGAAAGTTATAACCATCAAATTCGGCTTATAGCCAGTCGAAATGTGCACTTAAAAACTTAATTTGCATTTTGATAACTTTGATAGAGTTTGTGAAATTCAAAAGAAGTTTATGGCTATGTAGGTTGGGAGAACTGGACATAGCCACGGGAGAAATGGACCCTTTCTTGGAAGAAATGGTCAGCTAACTATAGAGTGGTTCAAACAAATTAATATGTTACCTATTTTCTTTCTGTTGAGCTGTAATGCACCATACAGTATGTAATGTATTTAAAAGATAAGCAAAACCATTTTACATTTTATATATATTTATTGAACATAGCGATGTTGATGTAATTTGAGCACACAAAAAAAACAGAGTTTTATTTAACATTTAAAGAGCTCAGGTTTTCTTTAAAGAGAAAACATCTTTAGTCCTAGCTGTCCCAGTCTTTTGTAATTTTGTAATTTTCCATTTTATGTCTTTAATATAGGCACACAAGCAATGACCTCTACGTGTGGTCTTATAAACTTGCCAGTCACTTTCTCACTTTTTTTAAAAATTCTACTTCGACATCTCCATTTACATAATTTTTCTTCCACACAACAGCAACATAAAACAAAACAGATTTTTTTTACACTATACTCACACAGCACACAATCATCTTTTATAACTTCTTCAACATCATTCATTTCAACACAATTAATTGTCAAGTCTTCACAGTCTCAAATAAAATCATAACCGCTTATCAGGTCAATGTTCATGTCGAGTCACTATCGTCACTTGTCCAAATTGTGTAGCAACTGCACGTATCGACTTTCCCCTTTAATGGCATCAACTGCATTTTCATTTTCATATCTTCCAAGGGTATTCGACCACTATTTGTTTTTCTTGTTTTTTGTCTGCAAGAAAGAAAAAAAAATATGGGAAACTTTAAATTTTCATCCCATGGGAAATTAAAAATGTTCTTTAAAACAAAAGCTTTAAAAGTTAAGAAGATTTCATTTCTACAGTCCATACATTATCATACCTACATATGTATTTTCTAAAATTACGTTTCATGTCTGATAATTCAAAATCTTTATTTAAAGTTAATTAACTATTGTCATGCTAAATATATTAATACGTTTGAATTACTTTAAGATTCCATTTGTCCATATCTCCCCATTCTTTTGGCACGTTTCCCCCCACTATGGGTTTGATGCAGAATTTAAAAAAAAAAAAAATAACTTCGTGATGCAAATAATCAAGTTTAATATGAATCACTGTAACTAACTAAATATTATACATTAAACTATATTTACCTTTATTCTTGATGAACCAGTTACATTTCTAGACGCTTTGATGAGGTTAGTCCAAAAAAAAAATTTAATGCTAACATTTTACTCGTGATTCGTTTGTTTCATTGCTGACCATATCATCTGAAAACTCTTAGAAAACAAAAAAAAAAGAAGTAAGTTATGCATTCATTTAGTACCGAAACATTTTGGTCCAATAGATTCAATTTTATAGGGGTGGTCCATTTCTCCCACCTGTCCATTTCTCCCGACTCTCCCCTACAACAATTTTATTTATAAGAATTGTTGTAGATGTATATTGATGTTTCATTAATTTTTTTTTTTTTTAATTAACAGAATTCTCTTTTGGCCAAAAAATAGAAATGTTTGAGATACGTCAAGAAGACAGCAATACTACATGCACTTCAGGTTTTCTAAGTAACATTGACCGGTTATTCTTTAATACAACGGTTACATTCAGAAATGAGTTACAGAATAACTCAATTGTGACATTTGAAATTAGGCCAAAGACCAGCAACGAATCTCAAATTGTAAGTTGTTGTATACTGAATAAATTTAGAGAAAGTGGGTACAATAAAACAATATTAAAATGCTAATTTTATCTTAGTAGCTTTAGATTAGTTAAAAGTTGCCTGAAGAAAATTTTTAAAACTTCTATGGAAATGACATAGAAAATCTTTTAAAAGTAAACCATTTTATTAGAATTTTAAATAGAATATTAAAGCAGTAATTTAAAACAGTAATGTACAATGAATGTTTGATTTATTCCCCAGGTATTTGCTTTAAACTTTACATCAGAATGTATAGAAAATAAAAAGACTGGAAACTATTACCACTGTTCAAAAATTTCTGATAACGCATATAACATTTCAATATATTCAGAAGTATCCGAACAATTCAGTGAAGCTTCTATCAGAGGTTTCATAAAAAATAATAATCAAACTGAAATGGCTAGTGATCAAATGACATTACCTAAAATATTTGGTAAGTAATTTTATGTATTGTTACGTTTCTTTCTAGTTCATGAAGGAAACAGTTGATTTAAAATAAACATTTATTTTAAAAGCTAGTTTAAAAGTGTACGAGTAAAATAAAAATAATAAAATACAAGACAGCACAATGGGAATGATAAATACATGCACATTTTAAATGAATTTAATAATTCTTCGAAATAGTATTGTTAATAATAAAGACAACAGTTCAGATTCTTCTAAGGTTACACATTCCATGTACTACTAACCTCGATTACTAACTTTATAGAACCAGCCTATACATCAACATTGCAAATACAATAAAAGACATTAACCTATCATCTCTTTTTACGTCATTTTTTTTTTAAAGAACCGAATGAGAAGCGAGCATAGCCAAATGAACTCTGGACAAGGATTTTGTTAGTTAATATTTAAACTATGGCCGTTTTCTATTAATTACAAATTTTGACGTTATATTTTTTTCAGAACCAACAGATGTCACGGGAATATTGAGTGTAAATGAAAAAAATATGACCGATAAAGCTAATTGCAGCTTTATTATTGATAAAGATCATTTAATTATTGAATATATTTGTATTGCACAAGCCTCGCCCTGTTTAGTTGAAATATCATCCAATGATTCAACCAAGGTAGAAGCAGGGGAAAAGCGAGTTGTCTTCAAACGGTTTTTATACCAAGACGTTTCGCTCGAAGTCAAAATAAAGTATGCACTCTGTCGACTTGACTTTGGATATAATACTTTGGAGTGTATTGTCACAAGACGTAAGGTCCTTAAACATTATCGTTGTTGATATCTCTAATCTATATTAACTCACAAATTTAGACAAGTCACTTTACTTATGGTATAATGTTTAAATGTCCAGTTTAAATCATCCAAACCTCAGACGCTACGTAAAAGAGAAAGTAAAATGGAATGCTTTGAAAAACTTTCCAAAAATTAAAATTTAAAGCTCAAAATTTTGTTGTATCATTGATGCAGTGAAACGCTTGCTAAGCTTCTTTTATGAGCCCATTTTACACCCAATCGAGGATAAACTTAATAATTATTACGAATTTGTTTATTAACATTTATTCATTAAAAACAAACAGGTGGCCAACTTCAGAAAATAACTATGATAATAGTTTTAATTACGGGAATCCCAACAGCATTGGTTCTGTTTTTTTTAATCTACAGGTAATTATTAGTTCAACGATCATCTTCTAATCTAGTTAGATGTCTATCTCCATTTGCTCCTTGCATTTCTGTCTTTTTTTTATCTTTTAATGTAGTATGCACTCGTTAATCCAAGCATTTGTTAACCAATCCATTTGGTCATGAAACTATTCAACAATCAATCCGTAAGCGGACTATCGATTGTTTTTTTTTATATTAACTAGCCCATTTTCTAGATAATGAAACACTTAAAAATTATTATTCATTTTTTTTTTTTAAATTTAATTTTACTTTCCTAGCTTCTTTAAAATGATCACAAACAAGAGGAGATCAGGTAAATACACTTTTAATATATTAGATTTATTAGCTCAAATTTTACCAACACCAAAAAACATATTTATTGAATAGATAAATTGAGAATCTTCCTATTTTCAAATATTTGTTTCAATTTTCAATAGAATGGCGCAAAATGAATAATTTATAGTTGTTTGTAAATAAGAAAAGGGCGTTGAAGCCTACACAAAATCGGTATTTGAATCAAAATATACATGCAATATTATCTTCTAGCAAGTGAATTTTAAAAGTCAGATTATATATATATGTATGTATATATATATATATATATATATATATATATATATATAACTGTGTATCATTTTTTTATCAGTATTATTCATTGTTTGATAAAGTAACATGTTTTGAAATTATATAAAATTAAAATAAAAAGACATCTCATAGCAAGTGAATTTTAAAAGTCAGATTATATATATATGTATATATATATATATATATATATATATATATATATATATATAACTGTGCATCATTTTTTTATCAGTATTATTCATTGTTTGATAAAGTAACATGTTTTGAAATTATTTAAAATTAAAATAAAAAGACATCTCACTTGGATATATAATGTATTTCAAAACAGAAAAGTGCGAAATTCACAGGCATTCACTAGCTTCTCATGACTTAATGGCGAAGCTTCGGCCATCGTCACATTTGAACTAAATTCGGTTGTTAGAGGCAGCCACTACTCTACTAAAGGTCTATCTATAAGCTGCCACTTGGTCTTCTCCAGCATAACTTCTATGCTGTTTAAATACCAACTGTCACAAAAGTCACATTTACGATTTTTCAATTCAATATTGTAATCATTTCTCCTTTTTTCCATAGCATTGATTGAAAGCGATTATGAGGAAGCAGAGCCTCTAAATATAAATGGTAATGTATACATACTTATATACATTTATGGTACAAGCAAATATATCAAATTATAGTTGCAAATATGCCCGTGCTTAACTAAGGGGGTGGGGATTGCTGTGAATGTACTTTAATGTATTTATGTATGAATTATTCATAAGCCATAAAAACGAAACAGCTCATTGAAGAAAATAAATATGTTGGTAAAGGGGATGGGAAAATCGTTAATTGGAATTCGCACTTGTTCTAAATAAGTTATTTATAACTTATATATAAGTTAGCTACCAACATATATATATAAAGATAAATATAACGCGAATATGCCCATGTTACAGTAGGGGGGGTGGTGAATGCAGTTTTGCGTAAAAAACATTAATTATTTTTATAATAAATGCACATATTGTTGTATATTATCTCCATTTCATTGAGCTGGGAGAGCGATATAGCTGACCACGCAGGACAAAATAGTAGGTGGGGGCATGGGCGCCTGCAGGGGGTGGTAAGGAGACGAGATATCCAAATGGGATACCCATCGGGATTGGTATCCCAATGGCATCGGGATATCACCGTGATCGGAAAACCGACGGGATCGGGATCCCACCGAAATAGGGATCTAAAGGGTTTTGGATAACAACGGAATAGGAATACCAAAGGGGTCAGTAGGTATTCCTTGGCTGCGCCGGCTTATAGATAAAAGCCAAAGATAACAAAATATCCACGTCTTGAATGAATAATAATTCGGATATAATTTTTTTTCCTATATTTACCGTCAACATTGAGAAGAATCTGACTTTATTGCTTTCCAAACAACGAAATTCGGTGATTTTTATTTGTAACTATTTGAAAAGAAATGTATGTATTTACAAGGTTCCTAATTTTATTGAGCGATAATTATGTAGCTTAATGATTTGTTTTTCCATCCATTTGCTTTAGAAATCAAGAAAAACAATGTTGTGAGTATCCAATCTCCTATAGGATTTATAGTTATCTTACTTTCAAGTAATGATGGTGTGAAACATTGATTTAAACAAAAAAAAAATAAAATTCGTGTAAAATATAATAAAACGTATGAGTCAGTGTGGGAAATTCTTTAAGTAGCCATAGACACATTCAAAACATATAAGTACAATAGTTTGTTTTTTTTTCCAATTCGAAACATGTACACGGTATATTAAAAGAAGAATAACAACTTGAAGAAATTGCATTTTCTATTTGGATATGTTATTTCACCTGAATATTTGAACATATTAGTTGGTTGAGGGCATCCAAGAAAGTACGAGCTGTTAGAATAAATTAAACCTATTTCGTAGCCACATAAAATTCATTGTTTTTAACTAACATAAACATGAAAAATATTTAAAAAGAAATTTTTTTTTTTTTTTTTAGTTTCACGGTCAAAAAAATAGATAAAAAAATGACAGCTGTGGTAAAAGAGTTAATATTAGTTATCCGACTTAAGCTCTCATAACAAATATTTTATTGCATATCATGTTCTGGCTACGATGTAATTTAATAATTTTATCAAGTCTCAATTATTTTTTTTCTTTTTGTATCTTTTATGATTTAAGCTGTTGCTTATAAAAAAAAAATTACTGCATATACACATTATTTTCATTTCCGTATTACCATTTGTTTAATCAACCAAATTTATATTCCCTTTTTTCCTTCAGGCTTCACAAGAATTTGTTGTAAACGTCGAGACTCCTGAGATGAGTATTCAAGAAAAAAAGACAAGAGAAGAGATGTCTAATGCTTTACTACAGGCATCAGAAAATGGACATACAGACACTGTAGAAATGTTGATTAAAAATGGTGCTGATGTAAACATGAAAGGAACTAATGGATTAACTTCTTTGATGTTGGCATCATTTAATGGAAATTGTGAGATTGCTGATATTCTTATAAAGAATGGAGCAGATTTTAATATTTCCGATCAGTCTGGTTTTACATCGCTGATGTTAGCATCACAAAATGGTTATTCAAATATTGCTAAAATGCTTTTAGAAAATGGAGTGGATTTTGAAGTGAAAGACAAGAAAGGAATGACATCACTAATGCATGCATTAAAACATAAACAAAACGATATTATTCAACTTCTAAAAGAACGTAGAGCAGATTGGAAAAAAAAAACACATGAAGGAATAACGGCTTTGATGTTGGCTTCAGGAAGTGGACTTACTGATACTGTAGAAATGTTAATACAAAATGGAGCAAATATCAACGATAAAGATAAGCATGGTTTTAGCCCATTATTGTATGCTCTAAAAGATAAACATTCCGACATTGCAAAAACTTTAATAAAACATGGGGTTAACATAAATGATATTGCCATGGAAGGTAGGACAACTTTAATGTATGCTGCACAAAGTGGTTTGACTGATGTAGCTGCAATTCTTTTAGAAAAGAAAGCATATATAAAAGCTGTCAACATGTTTGGGACAAATGCGTTAATGTTGGCAGCGCTTGAAGGCCACACAAAGACTGTGGAATTGTTGATAGAAAAAGGAGCTGATGTAAATGATACAAATAGAGACGGCATGACGGCTTTAATGTTTGCTTCGCTAAATGGTCACACGGAAACAGTTCAAACGCTTCTTACAATGGCGGTAGCTACTAAAGATAAAAATTTCAAAGAAAGTAAAACTTCAAAAAAAAAATTAATGAACGCTGTCCAGGTGAACGACACAAACGATGATGGTCGCACTGCTCTAATGTTGGCATCATCAAATGGACACACTGAAACCGTTGCTACTCTTATCAAATCCAAAGCCAATGTTAATGATACTGACAACAATGGATTTACATCGTTAATGTTAGCATCACAAAATGGTCACATTGAGACGTGTAGACAACTTGTAGAAGAGGGAGCTAAAGTTAATTGTACCAATAAATCAGGTATGACCGCATTAATGTATAGCTCCCTGAATGGCTACACTGAAGTTATTCAACTTTTATACGAAAATGACGGGGATGTAAACAAAAAAAGCAATGAAGGTATGACGGCTTTAATGTACGCATTAAAAAATAATCAACAAGAAACTGCTGACTTACTTTTAAAAAATTATGCTAATTTCAAAAAAATTAATTTTAAAAAGAATGCTAGACAGAACAACAGGGAAAGTTCCACTTGTTTAATGTTAGTATCAGAAAGAGGACTAACGTCAACTGCGGAAATAATTATTAAAAAAGGAGCAAGCGTTAATGATATAAACAACTTAGGTCGAAATGCCTTTATGTATGCATGTCAAAATGGACATACGGCGACGGCAGACATGCTTTTAGAAAAAGGTACGAATATTTATATAAAGGATTGCGATGGTATAAACGCTTTAATGCTGACATCAATACACGGACATGCAGAGACTTGCAGATGGCTTATTGACAATAAAGCAAATATTCAAGATAAAGATAAAAGTGGTAAAACAGCATTAATGTATGCACTAGAAAATAAACATGAAGAGATTGTAAAACTACTGATAGACTGTGGAGTTAGTGGTAACGAAAAAGATCAAAATGGGATGAACGCCTTAATGCATGAAACGAAAAATATGCATATTGAAAATGTCGAAATGCTGTTAAAAAATAAAGCTGATATTAAAGCAGAAAACATTTTCGGAGAAACTGCCTTGATATTAGCATCACAAATTGGATGCACAGAAATTGTGAACATTCTGTTAGAAAATCGTGCAGAAGTGAATAAGAAGGACAAAGAAGGGCACTCAGCCTTAATGTACGCATTACAAAATAACCACGCTGATACGGCTCAAAAACTTATATATAAAGAAGCAAATTGCAAGGAAAAAGACAACAAGGGTACTACTTTATTGATGTTGGCATCACTAAGTGGACAAATATTTATAGCCGAAATGCTTCTAAGAAATGGAGTTAGAATTACGGACATAAATAATATTGGTCAAAATGCTTTAATGTTAGCTTGTGAAAATGGACACACGGAGATGGCCGAGATGTTCATCGGCAAACGAATCCCAATTAACGACACTGATGTAGATGGTTGTACGGCTTTGATGTTTGCCTGCAAAATGGGACACACAGAGACGGTCAACATGCTTTTAAGTAAAGAAGCCGACAGAGAGGTAAAAGATAAAAATGGCTTGACAGCATTGATGCATGCATCGCAAAATGGACACACTGCTACTGCTCAACTGTTTATAGACACTAGGAAAAGTTTGAAAGTTAAGATTGTTAGTTGAACACTTTATAGTTGCAAAGTAAAAATAAATTCTTTCATATAATGGATGTATATAAATTATTTTCTTCCCAATTATGTATATAAATTATATACTGCTTTTTGATTTGATTAGAAAACAGGAGAGGAAAAGTTTAACGATAAGGCTGATGGATCTTAAAATATGATGCCGGTACATTGAAAAGTATCATGTATAACTCTTGATATATGTGCTTTTGTTAGAAGGACTTTTTCTTGCACATCATTTCAGTTATTACGAAAGTACGTTCAAGTATCGTAACTAAATGATATAGTTTAAGTAAATTCGTTTTAAAAAGTGAAATTTCACTTCTTATTTCTAAGTATTCAATGATATTAATGTTTTTTTTATAGCTGACCACCCCATTGGGATCCAACCCTCAGCTATATATCCTCATGTAGTCATCACCTTTCTATCCAACTCTTTTTCCCAATTTCACTCATATTATCCTTTCTTCTTTCTCTTTATTCCCCCAAAATCTCTTAAAATCAAACCCCAACCATGCATTCCACATCATCTACACTCCTTATACCCTGAACAATATTAAAACATTTAAGGTATTTTATATGACGCAAGCGATCCCACAACATACCCTCTACACTTTCTAAAATACCATTTAAAGTAAATTTAAATATGATCAATTTAAGGAAATCGTTGAGTTTATAAAGTTTTTTTTTTTTTATAAATATGCTTTCTTTTACAGAAAACCATGAAGAAGACGCCATAGTAATCAAATGCTATTAAATTGCAATGCAATTATGAACGAAAGAAAATTATTTTAATTGCGACCAAACA